CTGGAGAGATGGCTCAGTGGTCTAAAGCACCTACTTGAAACAAGCTTGGCAAAGCACAGGGACCGCGGTTCAATCCTCCAGCACCACATGCCAGCCAGCCCCGCCCCCTGGTTACCGCCCCCTGGTGGGCTGAGCTGGCCACACACACACACAATAAATAAATGTAATAAATAAAAATAAATAAATATTAAAAAAAGAAATTGGACTCCACAAAATGCAGATGGTACAAAGCACTGTCCTAAAAGGTAAGTTTCCTTTCCTATATCTAGGTAACCTCCCATTAGGAAATGTGAGTGGTTTCCTGTTTATTTTTATCTTTGTAGTTATTTTCTGCCTATGAAGCATGTGCAGACCCTTTTTTTCAGAGTGTGGTAGCATACCATGCACACTGTTGGATGCTTTTTTCATTTAAGTGTAATACAATACATTCACCGTCTTAAGTGTACAACCAGGAGGAGGGGCAGAGTGCTTAGAGGCCCTGGGTTGAATCCTCTGCTCCCCCCAAAATAATGAAGTGTACCATTCACTGGTTTTTAGTATAGTCACAAGGTTATGGAACAGGGGCCGGGGAGATGGCTCAGTAGGATAAGCGCTTGACTGGCAAATGCAAGGATCTGAGTTCAATCCCCGGTTCTGCCAAAAAAAAAAAAAGGTTATGGAACAATCATCAGTAATTCTAGAATATCTTTTTCACGACCTGGAAAGAAATTCCATACCCATCAGCAGTCGTTCCCTATTCTTCCCTTCTCCCACCCCTTACACTAATCTACATCCTGTCTCAGAGGATTTTCATATTCTGGACTTCATGTACAGTGGACCTCTTTTACAAATTACATGAGCTGCTTAGGCAGACGCAGGGGTCAGAGGTTCGATCCCCAGCCTGCCGTGCCAGCCCCGCCCCCAGGGTGCACCGAGATGACGATTGAGACGCATGCTGCCGTGCACCTGTAATCCCAGCACTGGGAGGCTGAAAATAGGAGAATCACTACAAGTCTGATCTGTGTAGTGACACCCAGTAGACCCTGCACTAAGTACAAAAAGCAAATTACATGAGTTAAATAATTCCTTTTCATGGCCAAATCAGACTTCATTACATGGACATGCTGCATTTCATTGGTTCCATCATTGTGCCATTGGGGTGCATCTTCCTTGGATATTGTAAAGTAGCATCCTTCATAGCAGCATGCTGTGAGCATTCAAGTATATATTTTTTGATATCTCCATTCTCTTGGGTGTAATCTAGGAGGGAAATTGCCAGGTGACAAGGCAACTACGTTTATTTATTTTTTTTGGCAACTACGTTTAGTACTTTGCAAGGTTATATAATTACCACCATTTATGTTCCATTGCTCCTCTCTCCTTTTTGAGACAGGCTCACCATGTAGCTCAGGCAGGCCTCCAATTTATAATCCTCCTCAGCCTCCTAGTGCTGGGATTGCAGGCATGTGCTACCGCATTACACCTCTCAGCTTGTGGAATTGGCTTTGGATGTACTAGGCAAGCGCTACCACTGAGCATAGCCTCTGCCAGTGGATTTTTTGTTTGTTGGGGGAGATGGCTCAGTAGAATAAGCGCTTGCCTGGCAAGCGCAAGGGCCTGAGTTCAATCCCCAGTTCTGCCAAAAAAAACCCCAAAACCCAGTTTGATGTATTTTAATAGCAAACTTACAGGAACAGCACAGAAAGACATTAAAAACATGTATTAGCATGTAAGACAACTCAGAAAAGTATAGTGAATGGGTGGAATCCATTGTATGATAAAAATGCTACAAACACTATTTTAGTTGCTGTGAATAAGAAATTTACACGGGTGGGGTGGGAGGGCTTGCCAGATAGCTCAGTTGTTTAAAGTGCCGCTTGGGCAAATGCAGTCAGGTGCATAGGACCGCAGTTCGATCCCCAGCTCTGCAAGCCACACCAGACCCACTCTTAAGGCAGCCTGAACTAGCTAAAGGAAAAGACGCAAATGCGGGCATTTTCCAGAAAAAAAATTAACAGATTTTTATTTATAATTGTTATAAACCTGAAGTGCTAAAACTTGTTCACTGAAACATTTCTGACTTGCATTGCTTTACATCCCGCATGAAGATAAAAATTCACACACAAATGAAAATGGAAAAACTGCCAATACCTCATTTCTGTCCCCTATTTTCCACTCGCAATCATGTACTTAGGTACCTTTTGACCCCACGGGGGAAAAAACACCTAACACGGAAAACTACCAGTAACAGGAAGGGAAAAAAATTTTTTTACCGTTTTTTTTTTTTTTGTTTGTTTGTTTGTTTTGTTTTTTTTGTAGAACCGGGGATTGAACTCAGGCCCTTGTGCTTGCCAGGGAAGCGCTTATTTCTCTGAGCCATCTCCCCAGCCCTGAAAAACATTTTTTTAGAATGAAATGTTTCCACCACAGTGGACTCTTAAGCACGTTCTCCACGTATGTGGCGTGCTAGATGCATATATTTTGGCATGATTGCTACATTCGGCGTGGATGGCACACAAGTTGGTATCTCCAAACAGGCCAACCACATAGGCCTCACTCGCCTCCTGCAAAGCCCCGATCGCTGCGCTCTGGAAGTGCAGATCTACTTTGAAGTCCTGAGCAATTTCTCGAACCAGAGCTGGAAAGGAAGTTTGCGAATCAAGTTCAGGGGCCTTCCGATAACGTCTAATTTTACCGAGGGCCACAGTCCCAGGCCTGTAACATGAGGTTTCTTCACCCCTCCAGTAGAGGGCGCACTCTCACGAGCAGCTTGTGTAGCCAGTTTCCTGGGTGCTTTACCACAGGTTGATTTACCCGCAGACTGCAGACTGCTTGGTAGGAGCCGTGGGACAGGGACCTCCCTGCTCCCTTCTGCTTTGGCCGGAGCTCGGCGAGCGAGAGGTGGCGCTGGCGTCAAGAGCCACGGCAGCTCGGCGGCGGCTGCCAACGCAATTCCCCAGCCAGTGTTTACCTTGAGATGCCCGCCCTTCCAACATGGTTGACATGAACCTATTACAAATATCTGGAGCAAAAGAGAAAGACCTATTTCTAAATCTGAAAGAAAACATATATCATTATCAATAATCCTAGTTTTACATTTTAGAATACTGAACGCTTGGAAGGCATGATACACTTAATACACCATAAGATCAGCAAAAATGAATTACCATTATTTTGTTTCTTAATTTAGTTTTGCCCCATCAGTTTCACCATTTTTTTTTTTTATCATTGTATTGTGGATCCAATTTCTTCACATCTTTGCCAATGTTTACTACTTTTTATCTTTTTTATTTTAACCATACTGGTGTGTTACATATCATTTTAGTTTTTTATTTTTCTTTTTAAGACAGGGTCTTACTTTGTTTTCCAGGCTGGTTTTAAACTTACCTATGTAGCCCTGATTAGCCTGGAACTCATGGAGATCCTCCTGCCTCAGCCTCCCAAGTGCTGGGATTACAGATATGCACCACCATGCATGTATGTAATCACTTTAGTTTTTTTTTTTTTTTTTTTTTTTTGCAGAACTGGGAATTGAACTCAGGTCCCTATGCTTGCTAGGCAAGCACTTATTCCACTGAACCATCTCCCCGGCCCCATCACTTTAGTTTTGTTCTACAGTTTCCTAATGTCATTTTCAGCACTGAAACAAAATAATCACCAGCTATTTATTTATTTAATGTATTTAGTACAGGGTGTACAGGGTCTCACTACACAGACTGGCCTTGTAGTGATCCTCCTGTTTTCAGTCTTCCAAGCACTGGTGAGCACCACCATGCCCAGTCTCATTTGCTGTCTCAGTGTGCCCTGGGGCCGGGGATGAGCCCCAGTTCCTGCATCTGCCTAAGCAGGGGCTTTAAATCTGCTGAGCTATCTGGCCGGCCCCACAGCCAGCAATTTAGAGGAGACATTTATTTTGGCTCACAGCTTCAGTCTCTGGTCAGCCAACTCTGAGGGGCACAACAGAGGAAAAGCGGCTCAACCCACGGTGGCCAGGAAACAGTGGTGGAGAGAAGGCGTCCTTCCAAATCATGCTCCCAGGATTCCCTTCTGACCACTTCCTTCCTCCTAACCGCACTTGCTAAGTACAGCATCCCCAACAATCCAGTCAACTTCCACACACATGAGGCTTTTGGGAGACACTGTTTTTCTTTTTTGGAAATGGTTTCTCATTGTGTTGTTCAGGCTGCTCTGTAACTCCTGATCTCAAGTGATCCTTCAGCCTCAACTTCCATATTGATGGATATTTAGGTTGTTTCCAACTTTTCCTATCACAAACAGCGGTGCAAGAATGATGGGTAAACCTTCTCACCCCCCACCCCCACCAAACTTATATTTGGCACAGAAGCCAGATAACTTCACTGGAACAAAGACTGCCTCTTTAATAAATGATGCTGGAATAACTGACTTTCCATGTGCCAAAGACTAAAACTACACTGATTCCTTTCACTAACACATTAATATTTTCCCTTAGTCATTGTGGACTGATCCAGCAAGTGTAAGGTGAAAATTAAATAAATGCAT